TGTGTGTGTGTGTGTGTGTGTGTGTGTGTGTGTGTGTGTGTGTATGTGTGTATTGCCGCTTTCCCTGTACTGAACAGCCGTTGGTCTATTGGTGTGCTTCTCTAGATCCAATCAATCAATCAAACAAACAAACAAACAACCGACCAAACAAAAAACAAAACAAACACGCAAACAAGCTACACATCCACAGGTGGACGAAGACGAGCCGTTGTTCCTGAGTCTGATCTCCGATTTGTTCCCGGGCATTTCACTGGACAGCGCCACCTACGTCGACCTTCAGGCTTCTCTCAACAAGCGCATCACCGAGAGGGACCTAATTAACTACGACACTTGGAACCTGAAAATTGTGCAGGTATGAGAGGGAGGGAGAGGGGTAGGGGAATGACTTGGGGGGGTGTATGGTGTCAATGTGGCTTAGGGATGTACACCAATAACCACACAGTTCAGTTATCAGGGATTTGACGTTGGGGTGGGGTGGGGTGGTTGAGGTATCTTTGTGATAGAGGATCTACCAGTTGTCACACAGTCCAAATTATTGTAAGTCAAGAAAATATCAGTGGAGAGAGTTTTACTGTGAAAGGTTTCATCAGATTTGGTTTCAGTTTGCCAATCTATTATCATCAGATATATTATTACTCATTATCACAATTGTGAGAGGGAAATGGTTGGAGATCATCAGTAGGTATAATACTGTACTATGAGGGTTATGACGCTGGTTCGAATCACAAATTTTAACATAAACGACTTATTCAGGGGTCCCAAGTCTTACTTGGCCTGTGTTGATATAGGGACGTCAGAGCCCAGTAACAAACTGATGTTTGCTCCCCCCCCCTCTCTCTCTCGCTCTCTCTTTCATATCCAGTAACAAACTGTGATGTTTGAAGTCTCTCTCGCTCTCTCTTTACAGCTGTTTGAGACGCAGCGAGTTCGCCACGGGATCATGACTCTCGGCCCCACCGGTGCAGGCAAGACGTGCTGTATACGAGTGCTCATGTCCTCTCTCAAGGTCAATAGAAACCTAGAAGTTGTCTATATTATATTATATAAAGTGGAGTATGCTTAAACCGAAAACGGTTAATCCGAAAAAAGGAGGAAAACCGTAAGATTTGAGGAACCTCTGTAAATGAAAAGCCTGAATATATCAAAGGAAATCCGATGGTCCTTCAGATTTCGATTTAAGCGGACTCAACTGTAATAGTATGTAACTTTCAAACTAGCCTAACTTCTGGCGGGCTATAACACTTCCCCTACCTCACACTCAGAAATGGTTGGCGGGTGCTCTGTTGTGGTTTGCTCCTTCTTTCCTCTTAAACATCTATCGTCCTTATCTCTCCTCCTTCTTTTTTACGC